ATTTACCTTATCCTTTGCACTCCGTGAATGGAGCCAGTTTTTGCTGAAAGTTGAGTATTTTACAATCCTAAATATAGCATTCTTATTCTTCTTCCTTAAAAATGGAGAAGCATTTTAAGATTGCCCTGGCGATCGCACCGACGTTTTATCAATCGACGGTGGCTTATACGTAGCCCCTTTCAATCGCCCCAACAGAGCCACCTCCTCCACCAAACACAACGCCCCTTGCTATTTCCCGGACTCCAATTACACCCGAGAAAAAAAACCATCTTCTTACGAGTAGCGGTCGTCCCATCTGTTTTTCCGATCGTTATCAACTAGTACAGTATGTCAAAAATGCCCACCTCTTTCTCCTATTAAGTGTTTTTACACTCCATTCTTTTAGGACGGGGAGTAGTCAAGTGATAGTGAACATTTTTTTAGCTTACGCATTTAAATATACCCTGTAGGTAACTGGCCACAACATTCAATAAGACGAAAAAAAGCTGTTTTTGGTGGTCAAAATGTTCGCTCTTATTTACTAGTGTGTAACCGTTGAGATACTTCTATGTCAGATTCCTGGATAAACTATTTCATATCGCACAAGCCAAGGATGCCGCCCGCAATACTATCAAACCTGCAGCCGCCAAACAGAAGTCGGAATACGACCGCCGTTGCGATGGCGATACCCTTTAGATTGGCAAATTGGTAAAATTCTAGAACGCAGTACCCCCTATACGTACATCTGCCGTGCTACACAATCCATGGCATGATCCCTTCATCCTTCAAAACGTGTTTTCCCGAACAAATTTCCCCGTACATTATGCAATCAAAATCCAAGCAGCTGTTTTCACAGAACATTTCACTAAAATCAAACACTTCCGAGGTCAGTTACCCATTTTTACTTAAGAAACCTTAACAATGCTTCCGGACGACCAAGCCCCTCTGTAGCTAAAAGGTCACAATTTATTCGCCTGTGGTACGTATGGGCACTGAGGATATTGCCCTTTTCATTATACTCTAATCTCGTTACTCCCATTTCCTACTCTCCCTTTCATTCGCCTACTGCTCTGCGCATGATGAGTGTTGTACAAGAATCGAATGGATGTGATACTGAATTATTGAACATTGGTAACACTCCCCAAGTTCAAGCAAATACTGCCAAGGAAGACTTAATCAAGCAGAACGCTGCAGCTTCAGGAGAACGAACCACCAAAAAAGCATGTTGGGAAGAGTTAAGAGTTATATTGGTTATAAAAATGCGGCAATTGTTATGGCAATCATTTTTTCAAGCAGGTTAACACACTGCGAGATTTATGAATGTCAGAGCCGTAGTGCTATCTACGAGTAAATCCTACAAGTCGGATGATATACGCAGAACGTAACGCAAAACTAAGGAAGTTGTGAGTAAACTACTATAACCTACGGTGAATAACTAAATGACCGAAAAGAGGGAAAACAACGGTGAAGGAACTTATGATACAGACTCACAAATGGCCCGATGTCCGTCTATAGCAACAGCAACAGACAGACTAGAAGAGAAAGCTCCTGTAGATAGACGTGATAGAAAAACTTGAAGAGGTCAAGCAATACGGCGATTGTGAAACAGATTTGTCGAGAGGAAATACTGAAAAAGATTGTCACGATTCGCGCCGGTAATGAGGAAAAATTTAATATAATGACACAACACTTACAAAAGCCACTCCTTGTAAAGTCCCAGTTGTTTAATGTGCATTTATTTGTTGATTTGAGCAAACATATAAATTCAGGTAGGAATAATAGATGCCTACTGAGCGCGAGCCGAATAAAAAACAGGAATAATAAAAGAATATTTTCAACATCAAGGTAAGAGTCGAGAAATACTGATTATAGTTTGCACAGTACAGGCAGAAAACCATGTAAATGTTTAATAAGTGCGTTTGGCATGCTACCAATTCCAACTGAAGGCGAATGCTTAAGGTTAAGATGAGCAAGACGATGTTGTGCCAATCTAAAGTGCTTTTCAAAATTATTTACTAATTATGTGTTCTCGTGACCAAAGTCGATGGTATTGCATCTTACCCCAGACTTTATAAAAAGGGAGACTAAAAGACAACCGCGAATTAATGTTGTGCAGCGCATATATCCTCCGCGGAGTCACGGCCAATAATAAGAGTATCTGATGAGGTATAAGCACACAAACGCTATGCATGCTATTAAGCAAAATAAAACTGCTGCTAGAAGTACCCACATATTGAAAACCCATTTTAGCACATAGAGTTCACGGATTTAGTTCATTTTCAAATCTGAACTGAGGCTAACGTTAAGGAGTATTGTCGCCTTTTGCCCTCCATTTTATATTTCTGTTCAATGGAAAAGTCCTTTCCTCGTTTTTTCTGAGTCGCATTTTTGAACTCCAGGATCCAAAACAGCTATTATCGCCTTCGATCGCCAGGAGCTGAATTGCTATGTGTTTATTTGGGGTGCCCTTTCGAGGCTCACTATTCAAATTGTCAGTTGCCTTGTGCGTGCACCTCGAAGATGCAGAACGATGCAGGAGAATTCGTTGATATGTATGTGCCAAGGCGTTGCGATGTTAGCAACCAGTTGATTGGCGCTAAAGACCACGCCTCCATTTCCATTCGGCTGGCCGAAGTTGATCACAACACCGGCCGAATGACAGGAAAGTGCAAGACATTTAACATCTCTGGCCAAGTTAGAGCTATGGTAATTTTTGCCGTTAAATTCTGACAGTTTTTTTTAGGGTGAATGCGATGATTCCCTTAATAGGTTAGCACTTAAGGCCAAGATGCTGCCAAAGTATGCAATATTCATAACCATACATCATCGTATCAATTTTTTAGGGACTTCTGCGAATAAATTGCACTGTTTTCGGCAAATAAATTATTACTTTTGGCAAAGTTTTCTCCTTTACATATAAGGTCGAAATCTTTTCATTGCCTCAACAGATGTGTCGTTTAAAGTTTACACATAATGGATTGTGCGAGTTCTCCTGCGCGTTGCCTAGTGTGTTTTGTCGGCTGTGTTCAGTAGATAGTCATTTCGAGCTAGTGTCCATGCGTTTACGTTTTCTGGGCTTCATTATTTTGGCAGTGTTCTAACAAAATAACTCTCGAGTGGGCATTCATCGTTGCAAGTGGTCAGTGTCTTCGAATTGTTATCGTTAATTTACGTTTCTTAATGTCATATCCTTGTTTGTGTCTAAGCCACCGAGCGACGTTCGACTAGCCCACAGAATAAATTACTGCATATTTTTATTTACTACATGATAGCTCTGCTACTTTGAGTTTACACTTTACTCTCTCAATGAATGGACTTCCTTGGTGGAATCATTAAACATATCTCCACTCGTAGTACGGAATTAAAGTGCATTTGCTATCGGTTTTATCGAACTAGGTCTAGGATTTACGCCTCTGATTTATCTGGTCCTGCTTTTCCGGATAAGTCAGCCGAGTACGCGGTTGCTCTTTTATGCCCTACAGACAGAAGTAGCGCAGTTATCTGGAGGAGGATTGTAACACGTGTAGGCTTGTAGACCATCGTTCTGGTAGCACTATCAGAGATCATGTTCTCTAATTCTTAACCCGAAATTCTTAGTTTTGTACACTGGCAGCACTATGCATGATTGGGTGCGGATTATAGTTTCCATTTTTTCTTCATGTGCGAAGTGATCATGATGGCACTGGATGCAACTTTGAAATCAAACTGGAGTGTACGCGTGCGGGTTGCCAAATCTAAAAAAATGTTTACCATGTCCTAGTTTTACCTCTAAGCTCTAAGGTGCGCTGTCTGTTTGGTCGCGGGTGGCACCAGTTACTGTTAATGTGTTCTGTCTGGAGTCCGTAACTAAAGAATCCCGACCCATTCAGGATTTCCTCCTGGCACATGTCCTAGGATGCCCACACCCATCAAGCTCTTGCAGTAACACCAGTAATAACAATAATTGTCGAAGTTACGAGGCTTGACTTTCGATATAGTGGCTTTGGAAGTACAGTTCATACCTTCCAAAGTTCACTAGCTTGTTTGCCTGTAAAAAAAGCACCTTAAATATAAGTGGCATTCAGTTGCCGAGGATCATCTGTCTTTTCATCATATCATCTCGGAATGCAACTTACTTCACCTATCCGACATTCACTGTCCCTATTCCAATTAGTTATTTGGAGTAGTTTTAGGGGGAATTGTTATACGTAGCCTGTCGTACTGCATGTGGTGTTACCTACACCCCCACTTTGGCTTGCCAAGACACGCACGGTTCACCGGGAATAAGTAGTGATTGCGTTTCACTTACGAAATTGACTATTTACTCAAACCGTGGTTATTTTAAATGATGTCAAGATGTTCAGTCTTATGTGTATTGCTGAGGGAGTAGAAGGCAAAAATGAGCTTGGCTGTGGGGCGCCGTAAATAAGAATGTCCGCCCGCTGGGCAAATAGGCAATGCAATTCCTCCCCTGGTGAAACTGCTGTTGAGCATGCCTTCAGTTCGTGATTGGCAGTTTTGAGCATCATCTTTTTCTGTCCATTATGTCCGTTCTATTTCTTGCCGTCAACCGACCTTTAACCCTATATCGAAATAGCCGGTAGATTCATCGAGAGCGCTTCAGTCAAAGGTTTAAGTTGGTGGTTATAATGACAAGGGTCGCCTCAGTCCACACCCGGCAATTGTCACTGCATCTAATGACTTCTGTTTTTGCCTTACCTTTGGTGTTCGGGGAGTTAAGTGTGCAACCCTAGCGTCTGTGGTGCCTGTACATATGCCAGAAGTAGCCACATTGGGTACGGAAATCTTAACACGAACTTAGTTGGCTTCTCCGGCCTAGACTACACAGCAGTCATGATTCGTATCTGTAATGAGCAGAAGAGGTGAGCATTTACTGCTGATCCTTTGTTCTGCAAGGGTCATAGCCTGTATTGTTTTGTCGATATGCTGTCTGGAGGGTGTACTGAGCGGTGAGCGTTGCCAAGTATGCTGGTCACTATTTCCATAAGGCTCTGTTTTGCTGTTAAGATGATAAGATGTGAGCTCATGATTAATATTAAGTCGCGAGAGTTCGTTAACTTCTTGGTTTGGTATTTTAAAGTTCTTTTGTCGTCAAGTGAAAGAGAATAGGACCAGTGGTCACTCGAACGCTAGGAACTGGACATCTAGGATTCCAAGGAGCCTTTTAACAGTCACAGGATCGATAGGCATGCCCAAGCGAGAGATGAGGATGCACAGCTCCGCCATATTTAGTGCTGCGAAAGATAGCGTCGACAGCCGAGACTCTGACGTACATTCAGAGTAAGGAACTGGTAAGATGTTGTATTTCAGGACTCGAGGCTCAAAGTAACGTCAAGAATGGGCCGTGATTCTAGTTAAGTCGGATGGATTGGG